CGGCAACGGATCTCGAGAGGTGTCGGGCGGCTGCGGGGATGCTCCGCTCCGTATTCTGCATATCCTGCGTGGCTCACGGCGTCTTCACTGATGAAGAGGCGATCTCCGCAGCAAGGGGAGAGACCCCGGATCCGCTCGCGGATGTCTTCGGGATGATGCCTAATGAAACTCGTCTGGCGGCACGGGCGGCTTGGGCGGGGTCTCCGTCCGTGGGCCGGATGGATCCGCTGACGCTCGCAATCGCAGATCACTTTCAGATCGGTGTCGATCATCTCGACGCCATGTTTGGCCTGCGGGCGTAATCTGTTGACGCACTAAAAACACTGCCTGCACACGCCGAAACCTTGGCCCTCACGCGCAATACAACGGTGAAGGCGAGGGCGCGGTTATGGCATTAGACACACAGAATTTCATCAATCCAGAGTGGTTGCCACGCGTTTCAATGCGCCGGATCCACTGGCATTGGACTGCGGGCACGCACACCCCGAATGACGTTGACCGGCGTGCTTATCACCTGCTGATCGACGGTGAGGGCCGGTGGCATCGTGGCACAGCGTCCATTGCGCTCAACAGCGGTGGCATCAAGCCGGGCTACGCCGCACACACACTCAACGCGAACAGCGATGCCATCGGTATCAGCCTGTGCGGAATGGCCGGGGCCACGGAAGCCCCGTTCAGCGCAGGCCGCTACCCGATCCGCCCGGCGCAGATTGATGCGCTGGTTGGCGGATGTCGGATCTTAAGCGATATCTACGGCATCCCAGTCTCCCGAAAGACCATGCTCTCACACGCAGAGGTGCATTCCACGCTCGGGATCCAGCAGCGCAATAAATGGGATTGGACCCGTCTGCCGGACGACGTGACCACGCTACGCGGGGGGCACGCAATTGGTGATTGGATCAGGGGACGGATCTCGAAAGACGGCGTGTCCACAGATCCGGTGCCAGTGGGCGCTACGGCCACGGTGACTGCCTCTGCACTCAACGCACGCAACGCGCCGAACGGTGAAATCACCGGCAGTCTGCCGCAGGGAACGTTGCTGTCAGTCATTGATCAGGAGGGCATCTGGCTCCGCGTGGAGACGCCTGGCGGCTTCAAAGTGTGGGTGAGCACGCAGCATGTCGAGATCATCGATGGGCCCCGCCCACTGGTGCCGACAGCTCCAGATCCACGCCGCGCGCTGATCGCGGATTTACGCAAGCATCTCGACACGCTCGAAGCGGCACTTTGAAAGGAGCCCTCATGAAAGACATCAAACCCATCTTCATCGCGAAGACCCGCTCATTCTGGCTGGGCATCGTCCCCGCCGCCCTGACCTTGATCGACGTGATCGCCGGGGCTGCAACGGACGGCACGGCTGAACCCATCGCGGGGGCCGTTGCCGCGTTGCTCGGCCCGTTCACCGGAACCACGGCCGAACAGGTGCACTCCTTCATGCTGGCGGTGGCCCCAATCTGTGCACTGATCGTTGCCCATCAGCGCAAAGGCGTGTCTCGGCCCTACGCTGCAACACCCGGCAAAGAGGCCGCCGCTGTGCAGGCAGAGGTGATCGAATGAAAATACAGGATTTGTTTCCACTCGGCTTCGAAAAGGCTGCGGTGGCCGGTTTTATGGGTGCCCTCGTTTACTGGATCACGAACAGAAAGAGTCCGCGTGAGGGCCTGATGTGCATCGTGGTGGGCGTCATCACCGCAGTTTATCTTGGTCCACTCATTGAACCGATTTTGAAACAGGCATTCGGAGCAACATCCGATCTTCCGTCAAACCTCTCCGGGTTTGTCTGCGGAATGACCGGGATATCCCTCGCGGGAATGATCACGGATGTCGTGAACGGCAGGGCCCGGTCCTTGCGTCGTCAAAACAGGGAGGATGACGATGAAGCGTGATCTTAAAGTTGCTGTAAAGAACAGGCTGGATGAACTCGCAAGGGCGGTCCTCGGCTGCGTGTGCCTCATCCTCAGTTTTGGCCTCGTGCATTACGTCATCACTTGGGGTGATGATGATCCGAACCGCCGACTGCGGGCGTGCGTCGTCCAGTTTTTCTCTCCGCCGCCCGTGATGATCATCGAAGAACAAAATGACACCGAATTTCCGGAATCTGGCCGCTGATGAAAATCATGGCCGATCTGGACTTGAAGCACGCGAAAATGAAAAAATCGTCCATCACAGGGCGTCCTGACATTATCAACGCAAGATGATTTCTCTCATTAATAATGTGCAAAAACTATTCGCATTATTAATGTGCATTGGCAATAAAAGAAAATTTCTCCTATTAATAATGCCATCATTAATGCAAATAAAGGATGGGCAATAAAAACTTTAGTTGGTAATGCGCTCAGTGCATAGCTTAAATAAGCCTTACATTTTTTAGCTCTGCGTTCAGCGCATTCCTAACTCTATTAATTAATGCAGAAAATAACGCCCATTAATAATTCGAGAAACTAAATACAGTTTAAAACTGTAAAAAGCCAATGTGAGTTATTTAATGCCATTAATAATGCAGAAAACGCATAGCAACAGCCAAAAAAAGGCAATTTCTATGCTTTAGACGCATAACGAATGGCTATAAATATCTCGGAAATCGGAACTTGCATTAATAATGGCATTAATGGTGTAAGAAGGTTATTGCTATTAATCAATAGAGATAGTTTTGAAAGTTGGTTATGCGTCCAGTGCATACCTTGAAAGTAGTGAATATTTTAAGTTATGCTCCAGACGCAATGCTTTAAATTAAACTGGAAATGACAGTTTTTTCTCTGGAATAGCGTTCAGTTTATATGCCTCTTCGCCAAGCCTTTCCCAAAAAACAATCATTTCATCCTGGACATCAATCTGGGCTGTAATCAGTGGATCTTTGTTTTCGTGGGTATCGAACATCCGAACTTCGTTCGGAAACGCAACGATCCTAATGAGGTATTTCATTTGATCCAGATCATTCCTCAAGATCACCTCGGTCATTCGAGGATCAACTATAAATCGGCTGTGTTGATCTGGGAAGTCGCGAACTTCCTTACCCATGTCGTGAAGAATGCGTGCTGCTTCCTTCGTTTGAGTATCGTCTTTGTGCTTCTGTGCTCTGGCTCTGTTAACGCCATTCATAAAGTGTTCGTTCATATTGCTCTCTCTGTTCTACCGGACAGAAGGAAGCAGGTTCACAGCGTCAAGTAAATCCCCGATCTCCGCGTCTCCACCATAGATATCGCCTTCGATGTGGCCAATGAGGTGTCCAAAGATTGCTCCCCTGACATTGATGTCCACCTTTGCTCGGATCATCTCTTGGACGGCGGAATGCCTGAATGAATGAAATGACTTCTTTTGCCCCACTCCGATTGTGTCCGTCATGATATTCTCTCGCCAGCGATAACCAATAGAATCCCCGTAAGATGAGACGGAAGATTTCTTTTTAATATCAAAAAGCATCCCTGCACGACCCTTTGCATATTCGGGCAGACCCAATGAAATGAGGTCGGCATGCAGCGGGATCACGCGTTCGCTCTGGCCATTTTTTAGGCCACGGTGAGCGTTTTCGCGAATGTGGAATACTGGGATGCCATTCCGATCTTCGATGTCCGCTGCGTCGAGCCCCGCAATCTCTTCACGGCGGGCTCCTGTGTATGCCGCGCAGTAGGTAATCCAGAACAGGGCATCGCGATTGCCGACCAGCGATAGGGCGGGGTGAGTAAAGATCTGACGGATGTCATCACGCGTGAATGCCAATCGCCTGTTCTTCTTGGCGCCCTTTTCGGAAATACGCAGAAGGGATGTATTTACTGTCCCGTCCGTGCTTACGCCGTATGATGCTGCCTTCTTCAGGAGTTTATTCAAGTTCGTGAGGTTCTTATTTGTGGTTGCACCCGAGAGCCCTGTCTCTTCGCCCTTAATCTCTGCCTCATTGATAATGTCCCAGATCGGCCGTGTCCGTTCTGTTTCTGACTTTCGATAGTTCTTCGGGATCAGGTCGTGGTGATCAACAAAGTCCGCGAGTGCCGCCTGATTGATGTCATCAACATACTCAATACCGGTCAACTCCATAAAAAGGCCGATGGTCCGCTCGAAGTCTCTTACAGATGCTGCGTTTACGTTCCCACGTTTTATTTCATCTGCGTTGATACGTGGCACGAGAGACAAGATTAATGTTTTGGAACTGTCCGCTGGCGGCCGGATCTCGGCCTTCTTCCGCTGTGGCCTTGGTGCGGATGCCAAGGACACCGGTTCCGGGACGGTGATAGCCTGATCTGCCTGCATGGACATCGCTCCCACGCTCGCAGAGGGTTCCGCATAGCCATACGGCGCAGAGACGGACTGCGGGGCCACGGCGGGCTCTGGTGGGCTCTGCGGGGGGGTGGGGTAGCCGGGGAAGACGTTGTGGATGATCACAGTGGGCGCGGACGTGGCGGACGCTACTGCGGCGGCAGAGGTCTCCATCGCTGCGGCCTGTGCTTCCTGTGTGGTGATGAGTTCAGGAATGTCGGGCCCATTGAAAATCTGCCAGTATTCCTGAACGTCCGCAGGATCCCAGTCTTTCAGGGCCCCGGTGTCCGCCGGTTCGCGTCCTTTGATCCAGCGGATGATAGCCTCTTCTGAGAAGCCGCGCTTGCGGAGAGTGGACGCAGGTTCATAAGGAAAAGGGAAAAACCACATGGGAGACGCGTTCCTTAATGTCTGTCGTGCCGCTTCAATTTTCGCAGCCTGCTCAATCATAGCGCGTGCGCCTTCTCGGTCCACCCTTCCATCTGCCAGCGCCTCGAATGCCTGGACACTGTATGCGGTGACCACGGCCGCCACCGTGCGTGCAATCTTCGGATCATCTGTGCAGAGGGGGACTTGGATCGTGATTCCTCGGATCTCGCGTCGCCAAGAATAGCGGCGGCCACGTCGGATAACGAAGGGAAGAAGGGACAAGATCGTGTGCTCCATAGCAGGAGCACGCTTCGTCCGGTTCTGGACATCATGTCCAGAGCCTGAGAATCTGTTCTTAAGTCATTGAAAAGATTAACTGGCTGGGGCGGTAGGATTCGAACCTACGGTACACGGTACCAAAAACCGATGCCTTACCACTTGGCCACGCCCCAACTGTGGAGGGTGATTACCCAAGCCCGCAGATGGGTGCAAGACGAAAAATGCAGAAATCTTGCCCCCGTCCCAAAGCCCAGGTATCGACGCGCCATGGAACACGCCAATATCGTCATTCTGGGGGCCGGGGCGGCCGGATTATTCTGCGCAGGCTCTGCCGTCGCGCAGGGTAGGCGGGTCGTGGTGCTGGATCATGCGCCGACGCCCGCCGAAAAGATCCGCATTTCCGGCGGCGGGCGGTGCAATTTCACCAACCTCGCGACCGGGCCGGACCGTTTCCTATCGGACAACCCGCGCTTCGCAGCCAGCGCCCTGGCGCGGTATCGTCCGCAGGCCTTCGTCGATCTGGTCGACCGGGCGGGAATCGCTTGGCACGAAAAGACCCAGGGCCAGCTGTTCTGCGACGGCAAGGCCACCCAGATCACCGATATGCTGCTGGATCGCATGGCTGGGGCGGAGCTGCGCCTTGGCACGCGCATTGACGGGGTCGCGCAGGATGGTGACCGTTTCGTGGTCGCGACCGCGGGCGGGTCGATCAGCACGGGTCGGGTCGTCGTCGCGACGGGCGGCAAGTCGATTCCCAAGATCGGGGCGACGGGGCTAGGCTATGATCTGGCGCGCCAGTTCGGGTTGCGGCTTGTCGAAACGCGGCCCGCGCTGGTGCCGCTGACCTTTGCGGAACAGGATCTGGCGCTGTGCCGTCCGCTGGCCGGGCTGTCGGTCGAGGCGCGGATCACGCATGGCAAGGGCAGCTTTCGCGATGCGCTGCTGTTCACGCATCGCGGGCTGAGCGGCCCGGTGATCCTGCAGATATCAAGCTTCTGGCAGGCGGGCGAAGTGCTGACCATCGATCTTGCGCCCGACCGTGACATCGCTGCCGACCTGAAGGCCGCACGCGGCGGCAAGGCGCAGGTGGCGACCGTCCTGGCCCAGATGCTGCCGGAACGCCTTGCCCAATCCGTGGCGGCGGACGCGGGCTTGGCACAGGCGCGGCTGGCCGATCAGCCGAACGCCCGGCTGGACGCGCTGGGCGCGCGCGTGAACCGGTGGCAGGTCCGACCCGTGGGGACCGAAGGCTATCGCACCGCCGAAGTCACCTTGGGCGGCGTGGATACGCGCGATCTGGACGCGCGGACCATGCAGGCGCGCCAGGTGCCCGCACTGGCGTTCATCGGCGAATGCGTCGACGTGACGGGGTGGCTGGGCGGCTATAATTTTCAGTGGGCCTGGGCGTCGGCGGATGCCGCCGGGCGCGCCGCCTAGGTCCGTGGCGTCGGGCTGAGCAGGTCGCGCCCGTCATCGATGCGACCCCGTTCGACCATCTCCTCGAACGCGGCGTCGGGGTTCAGGTCGGACAGGCGCGCATCGGCGGGGCGTGAGGGGCGGGCAGGGCTTGGACGCGCCTCCGCTTCGGGCTGTTCCAGGCGGATGCGGTGGACGGGTTCCGGCACCAGATAGCCCTTGCTGTCCAGCGCATGGCGCAGCAGGCGAAACGCCTCTCCGCGCGCCAGGTCGAAATCGGTGCCGTCCTGCGAGACCCAACCCCCGGCGCGGATGACCACGTGATCCGGTCCCTGGGCATCCAGCCAGGCAACAGGTTCGGGACGCTTCAGCACAAAATCCATACCCGCCAGCGCCCTGAGCACCAGGTCGCGCGCGCGGCCCAGATCGGCGCCTGGGTCGATGGTCAGGTCGACCATGAATCGGCGTTCGGGGTTGCGCGTGTAATTGGTCAGGACGGCCTTGTAGATGATCTGGTTCGGGATGCGGATGTGATTGCCGTCCAGCGTCAGCAGGGTGGTACCACGACTGGTCAGGCGGATCACCCGACCGCGCAGGCCGTTCACCTCGATCAGGTCGTTCGGGTTGAAGGGTTGGCGGAGCGACAGCAGCATCGTGGCCACGAATCCTTCAATCGTGTCGCGGGCCGCGAAGGAAAGCGACAGGCCGAAGATGCCCGCCGCACCCAGCAATGTCCCCAACAGAGCCCGCGCGCCCATCAGGTCCAGCGCTACGACAAGCGCCACGATCCATGCGGTCAGCCGGATCGTCTGCGCCAGAAATCCGGCGATGAAGGGGTTCGGTGCGATCCCCGACAGGGTTCGTTCCCGCCGCGACAACCAGCCGCCGGCCAGCACGATTATCGCCCCCACGGCCAGGCCCAGTGCCATGAAGGGCAGGCCCGCGATGACCGCGGTCAGGCGGGACTGAAACCTGTCGCGGACCGAGACCAGCCGCGTGCCCAGGTCGGTGGACAAGGTAACCTGATCCTCGATCGCGACGACCCCCTCGACGCGCGCCAACAGCGATTCAAGGCGCGAGATGGTCTGCTGTTCGGTCACCTCGCCCACAAGGGTTACGATCCCCGCATCGACGCTGGCACGAACGCCATCGAATTCAGGGACTTGCGCCAGGATGCTGGAAATGCGCGACAGGATTGCCAGATCCGTCGCCCGGTTGTCCTGTGTCGAGATCGCGCCGCTTGGCGTCGACGGTGCTGATGGATCGACGACCTGGGCGGCCACGGGGGCAGCCAGCGTCAACAGGATCAGCAGTACACGGATCATGCCGGGAGCGGGTCGGCCTTTGCCAGCCGGTCGAAGGCCATCAGCGATGCGATCAGCGCGGGCATCCGGTCAAGCGGGATCATGTTCGGCCCGTCGGACGGCGCGGTGTCGGGGGCTTCGTGCGTTTCGATGAAGACGCCGGCCACGCCCAAGGCCACAGCGGCCCGTGCCATGACCGGGGCGAATTCACGTTGTCCGCCCGAACTGCCGCCCTGACCGCCCGGCTGCTGGACCGAATGGGTCGCGTCCATGATCACCGGATAGCCGGTCCGCGCCATGATCGGCAGCGATCGCATGTCGGCGACCAAGGTGTTATAGCCGAAGCTGGCCCCGCGTTCAGTCAGCAGGATGTTCCCGTTCCCGGTCGAGGCGACCTTGTCCGCGACGTTGGGCATGTCCCAAGGGGCCAGGAACTGACCCTTCTTGATGTTGACCACCGCGCCGGTGCGGCCCGCAGTCAGCAACAGGTCGGTCTGGCGGCACAGAAAGGCCGGGATCTGGATCACGTCGACCACCTGCGCGGCGCGCACCGCCTGGTCCGCGTCATGGATGTCGGTCAGCACGGGGCAGCCGAACCGATCGCGGACCGCGGCCAGGATCTCCAGCCCCTCGTCGATGCCTAAGCCGCGGCGACCCGACAAAGAGGTGCGGTTCGCCTTGTCATAGCTGGCCTTGAAGACAAAGGACGCCCCGGCATCGGCACAGGCCCTGACCATCACTTCGGCGATCATCAGCGCGTGGTCCAGGCTTTCCAGCTGGCAGGGTCCGGCGATCACCGTCAGCGGCAGGTCGTTGCCGCAAGTGATCGAACCGATGGGGATATGCTTGGCAGTCGTCATGTTGATACCTGTTCGCGTAGGATGGAAGCCGTCAGCGACAGCATCAGATAGATACCCGAAAACACCAGGAATGCCACCAGGGTGTTCTGGAACGCGCGCGGATAGGTCGCCTCATCCGGCGGGATGGGCGCGATGGACAGCGACAGATAGCGGACCTGCTTGTTCGCCTCGATGCGCGCGGTCTCCATCTGGGCGGCGGCGGCGGCCAGCATTTCCTGGCGGGTCAGCATCTCGGCCTCGGCGACGCGCAGCTCTCCGCCGATGGCGGCCAGAGAGTTGCGGGTGTCGTTGCCCTGCGTCAGCTGCTGGCGGGTCTAGGTGATCAGGTCGCGCAGGCGGGCGATGTCGCCCTCCACCGCATCGACGCGGCTTTGCAGGGGGCGAGCATTCGACTGCAACTGGCCCAGTTCCAGCTGCTTTTCGGCCAGTTGACCTTCCAGCATGCTGACCTGCGCCATGACCACGCCGCTTTCCGCGACGGGGTCCAGCACGCCCAGCCTCTCCTGCAATTCCTGGACGCGAAGCTGGGCGGCCAGCATCTTTTCCTCGGCGTCCTGATAGGTCTCGCGCGCGCCGTCCATCTGGTCGGAGCGCATGCGTGAGGTCAGGGCGTCAACAAGCTGTTCCGCATAGGAAATCAGCGCGCGCGAGAACTGTTCGCTTAGCTGCGGGTCGGGCGCGATGACCTCCATGTTCAGCACGCCTTCGGTCGGGTCATAGCCGATCTTGACGGAATCCTTGTACAGGCTGAACGTGGCCTCGTTCGTAGCGTCCGCGGGCAGGCGCTTGATCGCATCGACCGACGGGTCCTGGAAGGCGCGCCGGAAGCCCAGATCCTCGTCCAGGCGCAGCATCGCGTCGCGCGATGTCAGATAGCTTTGCACCGCGACCGCGTCCTGGTTCGTGCCCAGGCCCGACCCGCCCAGCATCCCGCTGAGCCCGCTGGCGCCGGATCCGCTTTCGGCCGACTGGATCTGGAACTGCGATACCGTTGCGTAAAGCGGAGAGGCATAGCGACCGTAATAGATGCCGACAAGTGCGGTCGGCAGGAACACGAACAGCGCCAGCCGCATCGCCAGCATTGCCATGCGGCGGCGGCGGCGGCGGGCCAGGTCGCGCTGGATGCGATAGATTTCGGCGGCGCGCTTTTCCTCGGTCAGTTCCTCGCGGGACGGCAGGGCGGGGCGGCCGGGGGGCGCCGGGCTGCGGTCGGGTAGGATCGACGGCACGGGGGCCTGCCGCACGGCGGGCGCGTTGGGTGAGGGGGCGGCCTGCGCGCGCGTGCCCTCCGACGACAGGATGCTGCCGACGGCGGTGCGGTGGGACGGATCGATCCCTCGCTCGCGCAGACGCAGCACTGCCTCCTCGGCCGAGGAAACCTCGATCTGGTGCAGGGCGGCGATGCGCTTGGCGATGCGCAGCTGGCGTTCGGTCAGCTTCTCTGCGCGGATGGCGGCCAGTCGCGCCTCCATGTCGCCAGAATCCGCGGGGGGTGCGGCCGGCGTGTCCTTTTCGGGGGACGGCGCTGCGGGCTTGGTCAGGCGAAAATCACCCAGGCCATCGTCGATCGGTTCGGTGGCCAGGAACCGTTCC